ACCTGTGCTGTCCCCGGTTGTGGGGGGCAATGACTTTTAAGGAAGCTTCAGAATTTAGTGATTACGTTCTTATGGCGCTTTCTGCCGAAACATCGACCCTCCGGGAGGGTCGGCTCGGGCTTTCCTTCCGTGTCAGTCTTTAACTCAGAGAAGGAAGGCCTTTCCTCCCTCGGCCGCTCCACGTGTCCCTCCCGCCTTGTCGGTAGCCAGCGTGTAATTTTCTCAATGGCTTGTGGACCCCACTGGAGAGACCAGGTGTACACAGATAACGCGTTTCCTCCCCCGGGGGCGCGAAACCTCCTATTGTTTCTTTGGAGGCTCCTGGAACCCTGTGGAGCCATGTGCTTGGCGAGGGGACGGTGCCGGGCAGCGGGCCAGCCGTCCCAGAGCCAGAGAACATTGCGCGTCTTCGGTCTGGGTCTTTCCGATTATACTGCCCACATTTTTCATTAGCTCTGTGTTGGGCAAGCCCCACCCCTCAGTTTGTGGGCCACATTGTGGGGGTACTTGAGGTCAGCTCTGGGCTGACCTGACACACAGGCGCTTGACCCCTTGAAAGAGGGGTTTGGTTTTATTTGGTGGGTGTTTGTTGGGTTTGCAATGACATTTTTGTCTCTACTGATCTAGGGCTAACAGGTAACAGTGGCCCCCTCTTTTGGTCAAACCCAAAGGCATCTGCCTGGACTTCAGAAGAGGGGGTTCTACAAGCTTCCTTGACATTTTCACAGCTCTGAGTAGAAGCCACTGCTCCTGGGGAAGCCAGTGTTTGTCTCTCAGGATGGAGAGATGACAAGTTTAATATGTTTGTTTCTGTTAATATAATAAGGACATTCTCCAGAGAGCTGGAGCCCACGGATGCTGGAAAGACAGGCGTGTTCTGGGTGCCTCTTGAACCGAATCTGTAAAGTCTTAGCCGTGTGGGAGAAGAGACAATAATTTTCCTCCCACCTTTCTAAGCTCTGGCTGGGCTAACAAATTAGCATGAGACAGATGAACAGGAGAGAATGTCCCAAATTTCTTGTGGATGTACGTATGGGGGCCCATAGAATGAGGGGCGAAAGGGCAAGTCAGGCCGAGGAGGTTTATACGCCATTCGTAGCTGGAGAGGAAGGGGGAAACTTGTGGTTTGAGACTTCAAAGGGCAGGAGGGCCACTCACCTGGGCCTGGAAAAGCCAGTGTTTGCTAACTGAGTGTTTGCTGGGCCCTCAGTAACCACAGGGCCTCCCCGGGTTCCTCTGTCTATGACCCTTAGTTCTTAGTAACTGTGGTTACTGTGATGTAGCTGCCTCCCTGGACAGGGCCTCGGTGTAAATATTAGGGGGAAGGTCAGGAGTTCTTTCTGCATCTTCTGTTCCTTAAAAATAACCAGGTTAAAATATTCCATGTCCTAAAGAGGCACGCGTTGGGGTGACGAACTCTGCTCCCCCTCAGCTGATGGCAGGCACAATAGAAATTGGGTCTGGGATAGTTTTCTCCTTTGATAAGCAGGCATCCGTTTTAAAAATGTTCATTTTTATTGATTTCAGAAAGAAAGGGAGAAGGATAGATAGATCAGTGATGAGAGGGAGAGAGATAGAAAGATCAATGATGAGAGAGAATCATTTATTGGCTGCTTCCTGCATGCTCCTTCTTGGGGATTGAGCCCCAAATCAGGGCATGTGCCCTGACTGGGAATTGAACCGTGATCTCCTGGTTCATAGTTTGATGCTCAACCACTGAACCACACTGTCTGGGCTGGCATCCATATTTTTTTTAAAAAAAATATACTTTTATTGATTTCAGAGAGGAAGGGAGAAGGAGAGAGAGAGAAACAACAATGATGAGAAAGAATCATTGATTGGCTGCCTCCTGCACGCCCTCCACTGGGGACTGAGCCTGCAACCCAGGTGTGTTCTCTTGGCTGGAATCGGACCTGGGACCCTTCAGTCCGCAGGCTGACGCTCTATCCATGGAGCCAAACCAGCCAGGGCATGGCATCCATTTTTAAAAGGGATATTTAACATGCTGAACGAGGGCTGGAGCAAGAGACCCTGCTAGAAAGCCACCTCTTGAGGTCCATCCCCTGGGATCGAGGACTCCGCACGCCGGAAAATGTCAGGAGACCACGCAGCCCATGAGAAACCTTCGGTGCGTCGTGGCGATGGTTCTGTTTGCTTGGTGGAAGGCGGATCACGCAGACAGGCTCCTGGCTCCTGGTTCAGCCTGCATTCTTGTAGATAATTGGGTGCTGTTTTTACTTATTTACTTATTTTCCCCAGCCCTGGTCGCCACGAGAAGGCAGCTAGCTCATTAGCAGTCCATGCATAGTTGCTTTCCTGTTTCTCTCATTTGGAACAAACCAGGCCAGGGCCAACTGAAACTGAATCACATCCACGGACTCCCCCCTGAGGCACCTGCCAGTTCAACGCTCAGGAGGACCATGGGGGGCAGTGGTAAAAGATAAACTGAGGCACGTTACATATCGCCACAGTTTATTTGAGCAAAAATGATTCTAATCGGGGAGCACCGAACCAGAAGTGGTTAGGAGAACCCCACCCACAGAGAAGGACTCATGTGGTCCAGGGGCAGACACAAAGAAGGGAAGTTACTGGCTGGCTGTGGTTTAGAGTCCCGCTGGCTCCTTGGGAGTGGCTGTTCTTCGTGTTTTGATTGATTCCATAACCACCAGGCAGGCCCTGGCTGAGATTTCTCTTTCTTTTTGGGGGTGCCCTCACATTGAGCCTCCTGTTTAACGAGCTTCATGACAGGGACCTGAATTACGGGGTCATAGGTCAGTGCTCCATTTCTCTCTAGACCACGCGTCTCATTGTATACTGAAAAAGGGGGAGAATGGAGCCTCAGACCTCACAAACACAACCAGGAGCCACCAGTGAATTTAGCTTCAATATATTCAGGTGTTTTTGCCTTCCATCCACTTATTCCGGTGGCCCTAACTCCTCTACCTAGATAGAGGTGTGATGATACAGTTACATGTCGTTACGAAAGTTTTAACCTTGCTTTCTCTTTTAAAAGCGATGTTCTTAAGCCAGTAATTTTTAAAACCCGAATCTTAACGCTATGCCGGTGACCTCAATTCTCAGCTTCCTGTTGCTGGGTAGAACTGCCTGCTATTTGAATGCACAGCTTCTAATGTCCGGAGACCCACCCACATGGTTTTGCTTGTGGCAGGTTTCGGACAGGAGGTGCCCTGGAGGATAAGGAGGGATTTCCCTGCAGAGCTGTGACCTTCAGCCGTCAGCCGGCATTTTTCCCTGGCTGGTCTCCACTAGGACTCATTAAACCATTTGACCCTAATGAGAGGAACCAGCTCCAGGAGCAATAGTGATTGGTGGAGACTTTGTTAACTATTATGGATTTGAATGTAGTAATGCCTGTTTCTAGTCTGAGATGGAACAATCAAGCATTCCAGTTGATAGCCACTATTTTTCAAAAGGAAGCAAAATAAATGAATTCTATAAAACAACTGCCACATTTAGCTGCTATTAGGTTTAGAGGTCTGTGTGCACGCACATGTATCCACGTGTGTGCATGCGTGTGTGCATATGCACACATGTGCATCGTGTGCGTGCACATACACTTATGTGCGCGTGTGCACACCCTGGTGTTTCCTGGGAACGGCAGGCACTGAAGTGGGAGCTGAGAGTGTGTGGCAGCTCGGGGGGCAGCAGGCAGAGCTGCCCGCAGTACTGAGCCGCCCATCACTCAGCAGGTCAGGAAAGGGCCCCTTTTTCTCTGTGCTGGCAGGGCTGAGAGATTAAGGCGAAGGCCTGAATTATTTTCTAATTATCTTGCAGAGCATCCAGATTTTTTATGGCCCTAGCAGCCGTGCTGTTAGCTGAGAATAAATGCTCGGGAACGAAAGTGAAATGGAAAGTGCCAGCCCTCGCACGCATCCCTGACACGTTGCGGGGCGCTCGGCTATTACGAGCTTTTCAGCGTAGAGGGGGCAGATGCTCCTCGGCCTATGACGGGGTTCCGTCCCCATAAACCCACCGTAAGTCCAAACGATCATAAGCCACAAATGCATCTAATGCCTTGAAGCTGCCGAAGGCCCTGGCTCAGCCTCGCCCACCTTAGCGGTGCTCAGAGCATCCCGCCAGCCCACAGGTGGGCGATCCTCTTGCGTTCCATCTCGAGCCATTGCCTCCGCTTTTTCTCCCCAGAAGCAGGGGACACGGGTGGGTGTCTGTAGACATGACGGGACGTGATAACTCAAAACACAACACTGAGAACACACTGGCCGCGCTGAGCATCAGAGGGTCACCCTCATCACCCCGCCACCCGGCATCACGAGAGAGAATCCCGCCCCACGGCATATCACGAGCCCGGGAGAGTTCAAAATTCACAATGTGAAGTGTGGTTTCCACTGAACGCATGTCACTTTCGCTCACCGTAAAGTTGACAAATCCTAAGCGGAACCACTGTCAGTTGGGGACCAGTGCTCTCACTTCTGTTTTCCCAGGGTCAGCTTTCCTCCAACCTGTGGAGAAGCTGCCCTGTGCTTACCTGCACCCACGGTCACCTGCTCCAGGTGGTGGCAGAACCCTCCTGCAGCCCCCACACCGCTGCCTCGTGGCCTCGGCCGCGTTGCCTGCCCCGTGCAAATGGGAAATCCAGGCCCTTCCTCTGGGAGGGGGTGGTGCAGCCTGGGGGATGGACTTGGGACAGTGACAGCGCAGGGGCTCATCCTCCGAGTGGGCAGGAGGAGGGGAGGGTGAGACTGGCGATGAGCACTGCAGCTCCTGCTTTTCTGTCCCTGCTGGTGCCTCCCAGTGGCTGAGGAGGACAGGAGACCCCGGTGAGGCCTGCCGAGGTGGAGGGAATGTGGGAGGGACAGCGGGGTACATGGATGGCTCCACCGAGCTCCTTGCGGTGGGTGCCTCTGTGTGAGCCTCTGTGGCTGCTGGAACAAGTCATCCCAAACCAAGCAGCTTAAAACAACGCAGATGTGTTATCTCACAGCCCTGGAGGTCGGAGCCCAGCAGAGGCCTCTGTGGCCGGGGCGTAGCTGTGTTCCTGGCAGCTCCCAGAGGAACGTGTTCCCGCCTCTCCCAGGTCCCGTGGCTGCAGGGCAGCACCTTCGCAGCGCTCTGGCCCACTCCTCGGAGTCCCCCTCTCACTCTTGGGGTCCTCGCGATGCCCGGGGGCCTGCCTGGAGGATCCAGGGTTGCCTCCTGTCTCAAGGGCCGCTGTTTGGCAACCTTCATCTCCCTCGGCCTCATAACTAATCCATCCCCAGGCTCTGAGAGTTAGGGCATGCACGTCTTTGGGGGCCTTATTCTGCAACCCACCGTCGTGATCCCCACTTTACAGGAGAGGGAATGAGAGAGAGGAGGGTAACCACTTGACCAAGGTTACTCTGCTGTGAAGTGGGGGCTGGGACCTGCACCCTGTGGGCCTGACTCCACAACAGCATGTTGCTCTGAGGCTGTGATTAAAACGAGCTCTGGGAGCCTGGGCCCTGTGCCTGCGGCAGGGGCAGCCAGGGACAGCAGCCATGGGCTTCCACACTGATGGGTCCCAGCCGCCACCGGCTGCACTCGCTCTGTAACGTTTTAGCCTTTTACATTAAAAACAAACATACATACACTGTCCCCATGGGCACGCACAGCTGTGACACTAAAGGGTGCTTCCCAGAGCTGTGTGTGCCCAGGGACAGTGTACACGGTCTCCAGCCACAGGGCACCAGGGGCCACGCTCAGCACAACCCGAGACCAGGGCCTATGGGAATGTGGACCGCCCCCACCCAGAACTCCCCCATCCTGCTCTTTGGAAGGAACCCTGACCTTCCCTTGGACCCTGTCCCACCTCCGACCCCACCGGTGGCCTGGCCTATGCCTCCTCTTTGCACAATGAGAGAATCAGGACACTTGTTTCCATAGTTCCGTGTCAGCGCCCACCCTGGCCAGGCTCTGTAAGGCGACCCCTGCCCCCGTGCCCACGCGGGACAGGGCGGTGAGAGGTGGCTTCCTGGGGAAACTCACGTAGAGAATGAGGACCAGGGCGCCAGGCCGTGGCGATGCTGGGGAGCGTTGGCAAACTGCTCTGCCAGCCAGGACGGGAGTCATAATGTTCATTTTTCCTCTCTTCATCCTGGAGACAAATATGAAACATCCAGGCACCGTTTCACTTTTTCATTCTCAAAGCTCATCAAACATTGACGGAGCCGACCTTCTCGGATGGGAGGAGGGGAACTGTCTTCAAAATCAGTTTGGCTTTTTGAAGCAGCCGCGGAGCCAGCACTGAAGGGCAGGCGGCCTGCGGGAGAAATCTGATCATCCGTCGCGGAGGACGAGAGGAGGGGCCCGCTTTGGGGGTTCACGCACAGGGACGCCAGGCAGACGTGGAACGGAAGGGCAGGGATGAGGGGTGGACACCCACCTTCATCTCTCGTCCTCTGGCCGCTCAGAGGGCCTGGCTGCCAGTGGCAGGGCGGGGACACTTGTCCGCACTGAGGGAGTGAGGTTTCTCTTTGGTGCCCATGAAAGGGCGCGCTCCCAGAGAATGCTGGCCGCAGGGTTGGAGGTCGGTCATGAAGGGACATCTGTTTGCCTGGTTTCCCGATGAGTCTGCAGGGAAGCCGCCTGGTGGTTGGCCAAGCAGAGTGCTGACGCTCCTCCGTCCTGATCCCACTTTCTTCCAGCCGAGCACAGCGACGGGTCGGGCTCTGAAGACGGCCTGGAAGACCCGAACGTGAAAACCAAGAGGAACCGGTAGGTGTCCTGTCCTTCCTCTGGCTCTGCCCTCGGCAGGGGGTTCGGTGGCGGAGGAAGAAAAGGACTGTTGGGCTCTGTTGACGGAGCAAAGCAGGGATTCAGCGCTGAACGGAGGCGGGAGGTCTGAGGCTCATCTCAGCGACCACACACGGTGGGCAGGCGTCTCGGTGGCTCTGGCCTCTGGAGCCTGTAGGAGTGGACAGGGGTGACCAGGGGCCGGGCGGTGCCCTGCGCTGGGTGAGGGGTGGGTTTGGGGTCTGGCAGCTCCGGGTGGGCATTCAAGCTCTGTCCCGCTGGCTTTGGGATTTGAGGCACCGCAATTCCACCTCCATCTCGGGTTTTCATTGTCAGAGGCGACGGCAGACGCTTGAGGTGGCGCCTGCGTGAGCTGACCCCACGTGGCTTCCTGTCGCCCTCGGGGAAGGGTGGCTCAGTGAAACCCTTTCCCCAGGAGAGACCTTTCCCGCCCACTCGGCCAGGATGGAGCGGGTACCCAGACAGTGTGGCCTGGGGGACACCGCCCTTCCCTCGGGACAATCATGGCCGGAGCGAGCTTTATGAAAGCATCCGAATTTACTTTAGTTGACGGCACCAAAGTCATTCAGCCATGAGAATACTAAAAATCTATTTAGCAAGTTTGCATGTGCCTTTGGCCAATTCTGATTGAACCGAGCGCTCGGGCTGCAAGGCGCCCCGAGCTCCTGAACCACGCGTTTTGCTGAATGAGCTTGAGCGTGAGATCGGCGCCCAGCTCCCGGCTCTCTTATTCATCTCATTTCAAGTTACAACAATACGAGTCTGGTTTCCATGCTTCTATTTCTAACCAATGGAAATCTATTACGGAGAAATCCTAATTATACTCTTCGGATTATACAATTGCAAATTCACTGGTAATTTTCTTTTTTCAAAAGTCCACACCATCACCTATGAAGCAAAGCTTGAAAGTTCTCCCGAAATAGTTGGTGTATAAATAAGATTTCCTAATGGGCTGAGCAATCATTTCTTTTCTTTGCACATTTTGCATTAGTAGGATTCATCCCTATTGCAACCCTCATGGGTGAAAACCCTGTGAGACACAGAATATGCTTAGCAGGCCCCCCCCCCCCCCGCGCATATCACATTTTACTCTAAAATAAATTATGAATGAGGCAAAGATCTAAATATATATACACATAAAAGAAGTTGGTCGGATGGATGCTCACAATACCCTGGACAGACAGGGGCAGGAAGGCCACGTGCTTGGAGGGTGTTGGGAGGTGGGGACTCGCCTGGTCCTGGCCACTAAGTGACCATTTGACCTTGAACGGTCCCGTCTGCAGTCGTGCAGACTGCCCGGCATCCTGAGAGTCCCCAGATAGGCGCACCGTCCCCGAGGAGGGCTGTCCTGAGCATCGCAGGGCTAGCAGCACCCCTGACCTCCACTCCTGGGAGCTGGGAGCACCTCCCCAGTGTGACCACCACAGATGTCCCCTGACACTGCCCAGTGTCCCGGGAGCAAGTCACCCGGGGCAAGCATTGTGCTAGACGCACGTCAGAGAGTCCATACGTGCCCTAGCCGGTTTGGCTCAGTGCATAGAGCATCGGCCCACGGATTGAAGGGTCCCAGGGTCGATCCCAGTCAAGAGCATGTACCTCGGTTGCAGGCTCGATCCCTGGCCCTTGTAGGGCAAATGTGGGAGGCAACTGATGGATGTGTCTCTCTCTCTGTCTTACCCCCTCCATTCTACTCTCTCTAAAAAAAAGAAAAAGAAAGCCTGGATGTGACCGTGTGAAGGACTTTACCCTCTGAAGCCCCTGAGCCCTGGGGTCCCGGTCTCCCTGTTGTCACTGAAGCCTCATTTTGGGTTGGAACTCAGGACAACCCTGCCATACCCTGAGGGGTGACAGAGCAGTTTCCCCATCACCGTCTCCAGGCGTTTGTACAGAACCAAGGCCTCCCCCGGAAAAAAACGGGGTGAACTCCGATGATTTGTGAGACTCGGCTTCCTTCCCCGTGGGCCCGTGGCTGCTCGGCCCCCCGGTGCCCCCTCCACCAGCTCCTCGCCGGCTGCCCATCAGTTAGGGTTTCGGTCTCAACTTTCCGCCCGAAATGCAACAAAGCAGTTTGCACGGCGAGAGCCGATGCCTCCACCTCTGCTGGGGTGACTACACCAGGATTTAAAACGAGTTTCCCTAGAATAAGAGTCTTTGTTGATGAGCTCCTCTGAGGGCTTTGGAGGCTGCGATGGGGTGCGTTTAACTCTCTGTGTCTTGTGCCCCAAAGGACCGAAGGCCAGGTGAGCCCTGGCCCAGAGGAGGCGGAGAGAGAGGACAAGGGCACCAGGACGCCGCCGCCCCAGATCCTCCTGCCGCTGGAGGAGCGGGTGACCCACTTCCGAGACATGCTCCTGGAGAGAGGGGTAAGCACCCGGCCAGGGCCGCTGTCCCCCAGTCACGGAGGTCACTTCCAGGAAGCTCCTGTCTGTGTTAAGAGCCCTGCTGGCACCTGGCCAGCTTTCAGGGTCCACCCCTCCCAGAGGGACCCCCCTGGGCTTCCTGACTCAGGCAGGGTCTTCACGGCTCTGGGTTCATCTGACAGTTTTTTGTTTCCAAGATGTCTCCATTGCAGTTGGCTACGCATCCCATGTTGAACTTAATGGGGGGAAACACGTTATAATCGAATCTCCTCCCGGTGCCTTTTATGTCCTGCTCTGGCCTTTGGGTAGGAAACGCGCTGAAACACGAGGTGAGCCCAGTCGGACTTCTTCAGAAATGAGACTGAGCGCAGAGGCAGCCACGGGGCCCTGTGTGCGAGGTAATCGCAGTGAGCGCTGTCAGTGACCTTGGGGATTCCAAAGCAAGTTCCGCACAGTCAGCACCCCAGAGCAGGTGCCGTGGGAACTGGGGTGCGGGGCCATGGGGAAGAGAGCTCCCCCAGAACAGCGGTCTGAGCAGGGCCCCGTAGAGCCGGGCTGGAGCGCGGGCACCAGGAACAGAAGGTCCCCGCTCTCAAGGATCAGAAGGGGGTTCTCGCAGCCACTCTCTCCAGAGACCCACCCTCCTTTGCAACGGGACTTTTAATGCCCCCCTTGCTTCCTCTACCAACCATTCACCCCCAAATAAAATACAGCCTGGACCACAGGGGACTGGAAAGGAAGCGGACGTGTGAACTGGAAACCACAGTGCAAGGGGTTTCCCTGAATTAGCACGTCACCGAGGCACACAAAGGCACAAGGCAGGGAATGCCAGGGACAGGCGGGAGGAGGTCGCTCTTTGTTTTTTAAGGACGTGATTTTAAAACTAGATGTATCTTAAGCTGCAAATTCATTTTAGAACGGGTCCTAGTCCCTCGGACCAGGATGAAAAGAACCGGGGCGAGGGCGGGGCTCAGGGTGCACCTGGCGTCCTGCCCCTTCCTGCTCAGCCATCTGCCCGCCCTTTCTCTGGACGTCCTGGGAGAAGTCAGCCGTGCGAGGCCCATGGAGATGGAGACGTCCTCCCTGCCACCCAGTGGAGTTGCTCGTTCTGGGGCCATCGGACTGGCCTCGTGGTCCTGGGAGCTAGTACCCAGTGTCACTGCGGGTTACCAGCTGTGGTGGCCGCCCTGCCCACCCCTCCTTCCTCTCTTGGCACGGGGTCCCCTTCCTGGCCCTGCCTGCTGCCCCTGCCCCGGCTGCCGTATGATGCTCTGCCCCCCATCACGTTGCCCAGCTACCGAGCGAGCCACAGCTCCTGGAGCGCCGGGGCCTCCCGACATTTCTTGAGGCTTCATCTTATTCAGATCTACATTTTCATCTCTTTGCTTTGGAAACCCACCAGCCCCAATTCACCGTCACCACATCACACTGACCTGCGTGAGCTCAGGGCTGCCTAAGGGACCCCCCTTCCCTTCCCGGGGACGCCGGCCGGCTGCGTTTATATGGGCTCATGAATTGATCCCAGTGGCCTTGGTTGAGCGGTTTTCCTAATGAGATTTCCAGAGCAGTCCTGCCTCACGGAGGTGGGAGGCTCCATTCGGCCTTAGGTCCTCACCCCCGAGCATCGGCCACGGGGAAGGGGAGCCCCAGCCGGGGGTGGGTGCCCGGGGAGAGAGGCTGCGGGGGAGCCCGAGCCCAGACCGCAGGCCTCCTGAGCAGTTCCCAGGAAGCCCACACGCAGCCCCCGGGTAGCAAAGACCGACTGAGTGACTGCTGATGGCAGAGAGCAAGGCCACTGTTTATGGCTTTGACTTTATAAAACATGCAGGCAGACTTCATAAGTTACTCATACCCATGAGGATGCTATAGCTGAGCCCGTCAGATTTCTAGTCGCTTAACAATGAGGCACAGAAAGGTCACTTTTTCATGAGCTGCGTGATTAATACGATGTTTCATTGCCTTTGTCCAGAAATGCATGTGCTTATGGAGCGACGAGGCGAGGTCCTGTGGGTTTCCAGTTTACGAGGGGCACGTTTGAGG